CTCAACATGGACGCGGAATACGAAGGTTTGTTCAGGTGATGGTTTACTTTGTTTCTTCAGTTGAATTCTCCATTTGTTGAAAAGGACAAGCTTTTGTGCTTCTGGCAGTGGAGGATTTGGAAGATGAGACTAATGAGGAAGAGGAGCAGCAAGAGATGGGGAAGAAAATGGTTGCTAAAGGGCACAAAGATGCGTTGGAAAGGCTCAAGCAAAAGGTTAGTGTTTCCCCTTATATTTTTCCTCACGCTTGTGAAGTCAAGTTTGAGTCTTTGTTCTATGTTTTCAAGCGGGTGAGTTCTTGATACTATTTTTAAGGTTTTTGAATGGTTAGAATCGATCAATAATAAAATGCAAGAGACCAAATATGGAGAAGGGATTTCAGTAAATGATGAATTCGTGATTGAGCTTACGCTGTAGATATGGACCCCTCAAACTGTTGCCGGTTTGGATATTGGAGGGTTGGAATGTTATAGATTTTGGGAAGTAGAAGGGCTAGATTAGAACTAGCTGGCGAGTAGTGAGTGTTTGAAACCATACAGATACAGTAGAAGGGCTACTTGAAGTGTTTAGTACAACTGTACAAGAGCTACATGCTATATTCTAAGCGTTGATCAGCTAGTTAGGAGTTGAGGAAATTGTTGGCCTTTAGGTGTCTTGGAGGGTCACCTACTCATTTAGGAATTTGGCCTAAGCACCATTCTTCATCATCATCTTCTGTAGCTAGTTTTGGTATCAGACTTGATGGTGCTTTCTATGGTACTAGTCTTTGTGGTTAACTTATCATTATTCTTTTTATTACTGGACAGGACCCAGAGTTTTATCAGTTCTTGCAAGAGCATGATAAGGAGCTTCTTGAATTCGATGACGAGGATGCTGAGGTAAATTTCTAAAGCATAACGTGTCAAGATTCTGCTTGAGTGAGAGTATGGTGGAATTTCACAATCGGAGCATTTCTGCAGGAGGATGCTGATAATGATTTGGAGGAAACAACCATAGAAAAGGATGAGGCTGTCGATGATCATGACCAACTGGAGAAGGAAGAGAAGAAACAATCTAAAACCGTTGTAACCATCGCAATGGTTGAGTCCTGGACTAAGGCAGTGCTAGATGGTGGTAAAATAGGTGCCCTTCGATCTCTTCTGAAAGGTTTCAGAATCGCATGCCACTATGGTGATGATAGTGGGGATGACTCTTCATCAAACTTGAGTATCATGTCTAGTGCTGTGTTCAATAAAATAATGGTATTTGTCCTGAGTCGAATGGATGGAATTCTTCGCAAGATGTTGGACCTGCCTTCTTATGGCGGGAAGAAAGAGGTGATGCTTAAAGTAATGGGCACCCGCAAATGGAAGAAATACAGTCACCTGGTGAAGTCATATCTGGGAAATGCCCTGCATGTTTTGAACCAAATGACAGATGCACAGATGGTAGCTTTTACTTTGCGTCGTCTTAAGTATTCGTCTTTGCTACTGGCCGCTTTCCCAAGTCTATTGCGGAAGTATGTCAAGGTATAAGAAACTTGGATTCGTTCAAGTTTATGATTTTTTTCGCTGCTTTTCTTCGTGTAGCTTGTAACTATTCTTGATGTCTTATCTTATGAAATATTACCATTATAAGTTGATCCATTGATCTATAGCTGATATGTTCCTCGTGTACATGTTGAGATACATGTCCTGTATATGCTTCTTTTTCACACTAGAACTCTTGTTAACAGTGTAGCACTATACTGGAATATTCAGTGTAGCACTATACTGGAATATTCAGTATAGTTGTTTGAAAGGAATGTGTCATACTCAGTGGCGGATACATGATGCTTTAGGGGTGTCCCGGGACACCCCTAAATTTTGGGAACACGATTATTCAACCCCCGGCAGTAGTTTCGTATGGATAAACAAAATATAATTAGTAATCTGGGACACCTCTAAAATTTTAATAAATGATTATCTTACCCTCGATAGTAGTTTGCGTGTTTAAAAAAATATAAGTGGTGCTCTGTGTTATTCAAATCTAGGACACTACTATTATTTAACATCTTCTCTATTAGGTTATAACTCATTTGTTGTTCTATTTTAAACACTATGTAATGGTGAAAACGAGATTTCTTATCCCCAGGGGTACCCTAATTTGAATTGATTTTATGGTAACACTGCAAGTGTTGAAACAGTCTTTTCAACTTTGAATTACATCATGAACAAGGTTAGAAATTGAATATGCGATCTAGTAGGATATACCGTTTGTTGAGCAGTGTACACGCCAAATCTATCTTATATTTTTTTCAAAATATGAAAATACATCGTGACTTTTTGTCAACATTTATACTAATTGGATATTTTATTATTTATGTATTATTTAATTTAATTCAATTTTTGGAAGAGGACACCCCTACAAAAAATTTCTGGATCCGCCACTGGTCATACTAGTAAGTGTGGAGTGTGATCTGCATTTCTCTTTAACATCTCATTTCTTAGAATATATATGCAGAACTGATTTTCCCTTTTTCATGTCAGGTTGCCCTTCACTTTTGGGGTTCTGGAGGAGGTGCCCTCCCAGTTGTATCTACTCTGTTCTTGAGAGATTTATGCGTACGGCTTGGACAGGAATGTGCAGATGACTGCTTCAAGGGTATGTACAAGGCATATGTTCTGAACTGTCAGTTCATAAATGCTGCAAAGTTGCAGCATATCCAATTTCTTGGGAATTGTGTGATTGAAGTATTCCGGGTCGACCTCCCCACTGCCTATCAACAAGCTTTTGTTTACATCCGGCAGTTGGCAATGATTCTGAGAGATGCTATCACTATGAAAACTAAGGTTCTTTCTTTTTCCGTTTTAACTTTCTTATCACTCGATTAAATCAGAGAAATTGAATATTGGTGTATCAGTTACCTCGCACAGTATAACCTGATTTTTCCGAGAACTGGGTTTAATTAACTTTCATCCCACGATCTTTTCTTGCTAGCTGTTTTGTTTTCCTTTTAAGTGGTTTAGAATACTCAGATACTGACCTATGCCTTGTACTTGTTTCACAAGGAATCATTTCGCCGAGTTTATGAATGGAAATTCATGAATTGCCTTGAACTTTGGACTGGTGCTGTCTGTACTTACAGCTCCGAAGCTGATTTTAGGCCTCTAGCCTATCCATTAACTCAAATAATTTCGGGAGTGGCTTCTCTGGTTCCAACTGCTAGATACTTTCCTCTTAGATTGAGGTGTGTAAGAATGCTCAACCGCATTGCTGCATCTACTGGAACATTCATACCGGTTTCCACTCTCCTCTTGGACATGTTAGAAATGAAAGAACTGAATAGGCCTCCCACTGGGGGTGTTGGCAAAGCTGTTGATTTGCGCACAATACTGAAGGTATATATCTTGCGGCCCAAAGATACTCCTTTTTGACATTTACTTTTTGTTGACTTTTAAATTTTTTTTATACCAGGTAAACAAGCCTACGCTGAAAACACGTGCATTTCAAGAGGCCTGTGTATATTCTGTGGTTGAAGAACTCGCCGAACATTTAGCTCAATGGAGCTATTCAATGGCTTTCTTTGAGCTGTCTTTTATTCCAGCTGTGAGACTAAGAAGCTTCTGCAAAGCTACCAAAGTTGATAGATTTAGAAAAGAAATGAGGCAGCTTATACGACAGGTATTAACTTATGCGGATGCGGGATAACTATTTATCAAGTGTGAACAGCTTCCTCGAATTATTAGTAACTGCAGCTAATTACCCTGTTGTAGATTGAGGCTAACTCCAAGTTCACAAATGAAAAGCGTACTTCAATCACTTTACCCAATGACCCTGCAGCTGCATCTGAAATTGAGGTGTGCAATTTTTGTGCTTCTGATTCTTCTAATAGAGCAGCAAAGTTGAAATCTATATTTTGAGGAATTATATTTTTGTGATCTTGAATCAGAATGAGAAACAGTTGGGTCCCAGTCCTTTGTCCAAGTACGTTGCGACATTGCGTGAAAGAGCAAAACAAAGAAGTAACTCACTGGTGGAATCCAGGTTTAGTTTAAAAGCCTCTGACTTGCCACCTTTTGAGATTGTAATCCTTGTGCGTACAGTCTGCCATTCTCTAACTCTCTTGACCATTTTCAGTGTTACTGTTGGAGAGCGTTCCTCCATGTTTGGCAAAAGGAGATCTGAAGGTGGTGACGACGACAACGACGATGATGATGATGTTGATGATGATGATGAAGATGGTCCTGGAAACGAGGAAGCCGCAGCTGTGTTCAACTCATCTTGGTTACCGAGTGGTCTACCAAAGTATGTTGTCTGAATTTCTCGCTCATCTGTAAGTTTGGACTGTTGGTGAGCAAAGATTACATACAGCTAACTGTGCTTATTACTTACTGGTGCAGGGTTGATACATCCAGGGATGAGGGGAAGAAGAAGAAGAATAAGAAAAGAAAGAAAGGGCAGGAAGAAGAAGATGATGATATCGTCGAGGATTTCATACTGAGTTCTGACGAAGAAGAACCCCCGAGTGGCACTCGTAGTGAGGAAGGCGAGAATGTGAAATCAAGGCCACAGAAGAAAAGGCAGAAATTTTCAAAGAAGGAATCTCATTCAAAGAAACCAAGAAGGAAGCAGAGGTAGGCTAAATTATGAGGGAGGGCAGTAATCTCTTGATTTTCTCTGTAGCTCTAAATGGGCGAAAATTTTGGGTTTAAGAATGACCAATGAGACTGTGGAACAGAAATCAAACACTAAGGCAACGATTTTTTAGCAACCGTTTCATTGCATGCACTTTTGAGTAGTAATTTATCAACCTTTGATCCATTTGTATGTATATGAATATGAGTATATCAGATATGATATCATAGAACGAATGTTCACAAAAAATGTCAGATCAATCAGTGGAATCATGGCTGTGGATTACTTGTTGATTTCAACATGCGTTTATGTACTATCATATACTGCTCTAGTAATCTCATTTGCTCGAACTCAGATTCAGAGTTGGCATCATTGGAAATGGAGGGGGAGAAATAAAGGTTTTATCATTCTATTTCTGGTATGATTTCCAACTCCTGCACAGGCTTTGACTTTACCATGCTAGCCATTCTGAACACACCACCACCAGGATTAGAGCTAACAGGATTAGGAGGTGGTTTTAAATCATCACCTTGGCCTTCCAGCATTTGAACCACAAGTTTCATCGGAGGTCGGTCGACAGGGTTCCACTGAATGCACCATAGCCCCACTATTGCCAGCTTCCTGGCAATCTTACCATCTTCCTCCTCTGCTTCCTCCAAATCAAACCTAACATCTTCTCTAGACTCGCCGAAAAGGCTATAAATCCACTCTGGGAAGTATATCTGTTCACCACCACCATCTGCTGCTGTTGTTGCCACATCGATGTTCTTCCTTCCTCCAACCATTTCCAGCAACAACATCCCGAAACTGTACACGTCGGCCTTGTATGACACGTTCCCGAAGTTCCTCGAGAACACTTCTGGAGCAATGTATCCAATGGTCCCTCTGGCTGTGGACATGGATATGGCACTCTGGTCCTTCGCACAAAGCTTGGCCAGGCCAAAATCCGAGATCTTCGGGTTGAAGTTCTGGTCGAGGAGAACGTTGTGAGGCTTTATGTCGAAGTGCAAGATTCTTTGCTCGCATCCCTGGTGAAGGTACTCGATTCCTTTGGCTATTCCCAGAGAGATATCTTGGAGCGTCTTCCAACCCAAACTGGAGGTTTGGTTTTTTCCATCTGAGATGTATTTCTGCAGTGAATCATTTGGTAAGTACTCATAGACTAGTGCTCTTCTAAACCCATCTGCACAGAAGCCAATCAGTCTAACCACATTAACATGGTGGATTCTTGCCATTGTTCCCACTTCATTAACAAAGTCTTCCCCATTATCTATGGAGCTACTGGTCAGGACTTTGACAGCAACTTGGATTTCACTTGACAGCTTGCCTTTGAACACTGTTCCATAAGCTCCTCGGCCCAGTTCAACTCCGAACTTGCTTGTGATCCTCTTGATATCAGCATAAGAGAATCGTGTTGGCTTGAGAGCATTGTAATCATCCAAGAACTTCTCGATCTTATGTCGGTACTCTTTTTCCCTCCTATCGTACCTGTATGCACGGTAGAGCACAAAGAGCAATACCACAATGAAAACTGAACCGAGAACCGCTCCAGCAATCAATCCCTTCTTCAAAGGCGATGCTGTAAGAAAAAAGGAAGAGGGAAATCAATGGAGAGTGATCTTGATGACATTGTAAGATTATTTCAGGCATATTGACCCAAAGTGAAACTAGACAGGACTGAGAAACACATGCTAATGAGTCAAATGGCATACCTCTCTTGCGTGTAGCATCACCAGAGCACTCAACTTCAGCGTTGAGGCTCGGCCCCTGCTTCAGTGCACAACATTCCTCCTTTGACTTGTAACATCTGCTGCAGCGCGGGTTCGCCCAGCTCAACCTAAGACTCTGATCCTCTTTAGACGGGAATGGTATTTGGAGATCGTACATCTTCGTACACGACACCAAGTTCACATCATTCAGAGGAGACCCAGAATTGAGGGCAAACACCGTGCTGCCCAAGCAAGTCACCCATGACAGAGACGAAGTGATGTGACTGAGTTTGGGGCATTCGAATAAAGTGTGAGTGGGCAAACTCCCTTCCAATTTTAGTGGCGAGGAAGCGAAATCGAGGTCACGGAGTTGTCTGGCAATGCATTCATCTGGGCTCTTAACATGAACCAGCTGAGATTCATAGTCGATGCTGAGAAGTGTGAGGTTCACCGAATTCGGAAGGTGAAGCAAGGTTTGGTTTCTTCCAGCGCAAGACAGATCGAACCCTGGGAATCCCTGGTACCCAGATGACCTACCTCTGATAGTGAATGGGAACCTGATGTCACTGCTGTTTCCACCGCAGCTGGTTGTCGTTCTGCAGGAAAGGTTGAGACTTTGTGCTCCATGATTAGCCAATAGTAAAATGAAGCACCATAACCAGCTCTTCATTTTTGGACTGATGGTTGGGTTCTGAGACGCTTGGGGATTTCAAAAGATCTCTGCTTTTGAATGAGTTGAATCTACAGTTGGAAGCTGCTGCACTGTTTCTGAAAAGGGTTGAGCTGGTAATGTTTAAAAAATGTAAAGCCCTCCATCATTGGCAAGTTGCTTTCAACTGGACAAGTAATAGCAAAGGGGAAACCTTTACATCCATTCTTTTGACTTTTCAATTGGCAAGTTGCTCCCTTCTTCCCTCCTGTCGATTCTTCCGCCTATCATTAATTAATGCCCACTTTCCACTCTTTACCCCCCAACCGTGGTTGGCCGAGGTTTGAGTTTGACTATTCAGAAACGATGATAGTTGCTGACTCCACTAGCTTTCTCTGTTCATACTCCGTTGAATAGTAGACAATCAAATCAAATCAAATCTGCAAGGGAAAAGGTTCTCCTCAATATGCGAGAGAGCAGATTGCTTGCTTGAACTCTGCCATGTTCAGTGCAAGGCTTCCCTTCCATTTCCCAGATGGGTTGATTCCCTACTCATTATTTCTCTTGCTGCTGCTACTTGCCCAAACTTGCCAGGCAGCTACTGCAGATGGAGGAACCTGCAGTCCTTCCTCCTGCGGCGAAATCCCCGAAATCAAGGACCCTTTTCGCCTGACGACTGATCCACAAAGCTGCGGAAACCAAAAGTACAACCTCTCATGCGAGAGCAACACAACGGTGCTTTACATCGAGTCAGCCAGATACTACGTCAGAGCAATAAACTACAAGAACTTAACAATCAGGTTGGTCAATGAGGGAATAATCGACGGCCAATGCTCTTCCTTGCCCACCAGCCCTCTGTCCGAAAACAGCTTCTACTTCCTCGATCCATACATAGCAACAAGGGACAGACAGAGGTTCTTGTCCAAGAGGGAAGAGCGCTTGAATGAAGTGTTAACTCTGTTCAGCTGCCAGGGTACTCTCAGCAGTTCTGCAGGATTGGTGGAAACAGCTCCATGCATCAGTGGAGTGAACAATTCTTCGGGTTATGCGGTTTTTGGTGGTGCAATGGATGCTCTCAGCTTGGGGAAGATGTGCAGGGTTGATATGATGGCGATGTTGGCGAAGAAGAAGGATGGTTCTTACGACCAGGTCGGGTTTCAAGAAGTTCACCGACAGCTCGAATATGGGTTCGAGCTCTCGTGGCATCTGTACAAGTGCGCTGGCTGCTTAGGGGTCAATAGTTGCTACCTTGATAAGGACAACAAAGTTCTCTGCTCTGGTAATGGCTGTATACATTATCTACATCACCATATGCTGCTTTCTGATCTTGTTTCTGCAAATTATCATGTTTTGCTTTCAACAACTGATGATGTTTATGGTTTCTCTGTTTGGTGTAGGACTATGGGACCAAATCATATTGATTACAAGTGAGAGATCTCTCTCCCTAACCCTGTTTGAGTATTTGTTTCTGGGTGAATAGTAATAGCAGCTAGTAACATAGGTGGTCATTGAACTACAGTTGTGGAGTTTCATTTTGATCGCTCAAAACTAGTTTTAGGGTCCAATTGGACGATGGATTCTGCTCCACAATCTATCTCTCTAGTCAAGAATGCTCTAATTTTGTGGGTTCTCAACATTCATGCCTCTTTCTTTTGCATTGCAGCAACCCTTGGAAGACTCCTATATACCCTTGGTAAACTCCACATTCATCTCAGAACTTTCTTTTTCAGTTACACTTCAGCTCCAAAAGTAGTAACAGAAACTTCATTACCTCTACACAGTGGTTCTAGCTCACGTGGCAATGGTGCCACTGGGAACCCCACTCGTGATAGCATTCCTCGTCTACAGATGGCGAAGGAGACATCTCTCGGCATACGACAAGATCGAAGAGTTCCTCCAGAACCAGAACAACCTGATGACCCCAGTTCGTTACTCTTACTCTGACATCAAGAAGATCACTCGTGGCTTCAAGGACAAGCTAGGCGAAGGCGGTTTTGGTGCTGTGTACAAAGGAAAGCTTCGCAGTGGCGGGTTTGCAGCTGTGAAGATGCTTGGCAAGTCAGCAGCTGGAGGAGGAGGAGGTCAAGACTTCATGAGTGAAGTTGCCACCATTGGCAGGATTCACCATGCCAACGTCGTTCGACTGATTGGTTTCTGCTCCGAAGGATCGAAGCGTGCTCTGGTCTATGAGTTCATGCCCAACGGCTCCCTCGACAAGTACGTGTTCCACAAGCAAGGTTACGAAACTCTGAGCTTGGAGCAAATGTACCGGATCTCTCTCGGGGTGGCACGTGGCATCGAGTATTTACACTCGGGATGTGATATGCAGATTTTGCATTTCGACATCAAGCCACACAACATCCTTCTGGATGACAACTTCAGCCCCAAGGTATCTGATTTTGGGCTGGCGAAGCTTTATCCAACTGGTGACAGGGTGGCAACTCTGACTGCCATACGTGGGACCATAGGGTACATGGCACCAGAGCTGTTCTACAAGAACATTGGGGGTGTCTCTTACAAAGCTGATGTATATAGCTTTGGGATGCTGCTGTTGGAAATGGCAGGAAAGAGGGATAACGCTGCAGTGACGGATAATTCGAGCCAGGTTTACTTCCCCTTCTGGGTTCACGACGAGGTGTTGTCGTCGAACTCGCCTGCTGGGGATCATGTTGTGGTTGGACATTCTACGGAGGAAGAGAATGTGGTTGCGAGGAAGATGGTGATAGTGGGGTTGTGGTGCATTCAAACCAACCCGGTAAACCGTCCTCCAATGAACAAAGTGGTGGAGATGCTCGAAGGGGAGTTGGAAAGCTTGGAACTTCCTCCGAGGCCTGTTCTGTATGCTGGAGACACTGTAACAAAGAAGGACGAAGACTCATCATCGTCATCATTTGCATCGTCAGAATATTATACTCGGTCATCAATCAGTCAAAGTGATGAATACTAATAATGCAGTTCTAGTGTATTACCTGGGCTGATGTACATAGGATTAGCCATAGGATCACCCTGATACCAGGGAAACATAAAATAACTTCTAAACTAAATGAAGGTGGTATCATTTTTATTTTGCTTATTAGTTCCTTAAACAAGGTGAATGAACCACCAAGAGAGCGAGTTATGAGATCAATGATTTCAATGTATCTTTTCCACAAATTTTCACATTTCTTACAAACACACCTAAATGTTCCTTTTAACATTTTCCCTTCTCAATAGAAAGTGGCGCAAAGCTAGGAATTGAGTACTGTCGAATGAGCACGCTAGAAGATTGATGGGTACAGACTTCATGTTTGCCAGGTTCTTCAAGTTCATAGTTAAGCCGAGCCCTGTCAATTCATTTGACAAGAACAATAGTGAAAAGGTGACAAGTGAAGATCAAACAAACTTAATGTTCATTTCTCAACTTCTCACAGGATATAGTACCGTTTCCTGAAGTTTGAAGGTTCGCCACAATGCAAGAAGGGGGTGGAACAACATAAATTGCTGTTTGTTCTATCCTCAGAAGGATCGGCATTTTGCTGCAATCCGAAAATTTGAACACAGCCCATCAGAAGTTCAGTATTGTATACTACAAATTCTCGTCACTTCTTGTGGTAGGATGTTGTGAAACTGGACAGAATAAGTTTAATTATGGAATAGAAGAAAAAGATTCTGTTGCAATTTGTATCATTATAGGCCTGTGAGGGGGCAGAGAAGGTACTAAAGAAATACTCACAGTTTTAGCCTCTAAGTTTTGAGCTGTTGATGCCTTAAAGTTCCCGGCCTTGGGATTTCTTCTGTCATGCACAAGAAGGACTGCACATTTGCATGTGAAGAACAATAGGATTGCACCAAGGGTACACATGATGATAAATTCGACAATGACGGCTATTCCTATGCCTGTAATCAGAAAATTCAAGACTTCACAAGAATGATATAGCCACCTTGAAGGTTAAGAAGTGTGTATGAACAAAACAAGATTTACATACTGTCTGTTGCCAATAAACCCATTTGTCTTCCCTGGACAAGACTGACAGTAGCCTCAGCAAACATGGGCACTGAAATCCTTTCGACACAGTCTGCAGAAGAACAGCCATAGTGTCCCATATCGTTTACTTTCACCGTCAAGAGAGCATCTTGCTCTGCACCCTGCGAATTGGAAGATGGTCTGTTTTGATTAGAGTCAACACTAAGAAGATGGCAGAACTGTTCTCTTTAGACTATTGGGCTTACTGACATTATAAGACAGTTGTTGTAGGACGCTGTTGCAATCATTCACCGTTCCTCGGAATCTTACTCCACTGGCTCTGACAAGAAAGTGTTTTGAGATAGTTACATATGTTTGAAGAGGCTGCCACATATGACTACTTTGTAGCTTCAATTCAGTAGTAAGGCTGAGCTGAGCTGGGAGACTAGTTTCCAGATATCCAACGTCAACTTCAACAGAAAATGAAAATATAAACTGCGACTCGCTACCTGCAACATGATTCAAACGCAAAAAAAAAAAGTTCAAGGAGCTGATTTGTGCAGCCTGGATATCCATATAACAATACATACCAGGATAGTAGGCAAGATCAGGATCTCCAATGGAGAACTCAAAGTCGTCTCTCTTCTTATCAAAGATCAGGGACCCGTCTCCATTCCCCTTTAAGAAGAGAAACCTAGGAACATTAATGAATGGAGGATCATTAATGGGTTCTATTAAGACTGGGATATCCAAATTCGTTTGCCCATTAGTGTTGCCAGCTGAAACTTGAAGAGAGTCATTCCCATTGAAGTTCTCATTTCTGATTTAAAACAGCAGAAAAAGAAGTAAGTCACAGAATCCTGAACAAAGTTGGAAAGCAATTATTTGGTCTAGTAGTTGGTACCCGATATACTGAACAGATTGAAGCGCTAAATTGATTTCATCGACACGGCCCTTCAAGATCAAAATATTCCCTCCCTCCCCTTTCTCAACGGCAAGTTGTCCAGAAATGGGCTGGAAAAATTGCATTAACACAGGAGACAAAAGCAAAGTGCCAGACCGTGCCCCAAGAGTAACTGTGATATCCTCGGCCAATTCTGAATATCTTACCTCAAACCCAGGGAAACCCCTGAAAGAGCCCAACAAGTAAAATGACAGACAAAATTAGCTGCAATGAACTACTTTAAAGATGACATGAAGTACTGTTGACCAAACAAGAATTCCTTACCCAAACTGGGGACTTATCGTGTCTTCAGTTGCATAGACTTCGCTTGGAGATGAAGTAAACCGAGGAGGGATGCTAAGAACTGAAATGTTCACAGCAGCAGTAGCGAAGTTTCCGTTCACATCGGACATGGTGTAGACAAATGAATCATCTCCATAGTAGTCTTTGTAGGGAGTGTATCGAAAGACATGTCCATTCAGCAGAAGTGAACCACGACCTGGCTAACAAAGTAGAGTACTTTGATAAAGCCCTTTGTACGATCAGAACTTTTCTAAGAATTATAAAGGAAATCAGTACAAATTCAGTCTACAGGAAAGAGATAAAGATCAAGTATTGAACTTTGGGCCTTACGTTTGAGAACTGAGTTATGCTTGCATTACTTCCAGCAAAGAAGTCATTTCCTAATACATCAAAGGCAATAGACTCATCCTCGGACACTGCAACATAGTCGTCATAAGCTTTTGGAAAAAAATCACCTGAAGTAAAAAGAAATGAAATGGATATAAGACAACAAAGAAAGGCATACCTTAAATATATAGGTTCAGTTACTAAATCAACAATACCAAAGAAAGATTGGGAGTACGTGATAGAAAAGGCATCAGCCTCAGAACCAATTATTGACAAGGCTAATGCACGTATACGTTACAGACTGAGAATCACAGAGTAAAACTCAAGATAGTCGTATGTCTTCCAAGCTTATGATATAATGTCCTAACTAACTTACCACCATATGCATTGACCTTGATGGGGCAGGTTGAAAAACGTTTTCCATCAAATGAAACACAGATCTCATAAGTTCCAACATTTTTAAGCAGATAGCCACAAGTATAAGAGCCATTATCTTTGTCCTTGAACATCCCAGCTGAGAATCCAGAGCTGTTAACAGAAGCACACTCCAACTTCAGCCTTGACTGTAGAAGTGGCACAGGATTAGAAAATGAGTCCATCAATTGCACCACTATGTCGTTCTGAATGAGCTTCGACACCTTTGGGTAAAATTTGACTACTCCAGAGAGTGATAAATTAACACCTCCTGTGATACAATGAAGATGACTTCTTAGCGGTGAGGTTTAATACATCAACACAGACAATAATTTTCGACCAATTCTCCTAGGAAATGGCATTAAATTTTAGGCAAAGTTTAAAGGAATTCGCTACTATACATGTATTAATATAAAACTACCTGGTCTAACTTCCTTTATGAACGAGCGGCCGCCATTCAGTAGAACATTACCACAGAATACAAAGATTGCGTAAGTCCCGCTCCTTTCAGGGGTATAAACCACATCGAATCCACTGGCAAGGACATTACTGTGTCCAGCATACTGAATCAACATGGAAAGGGGGATTATATATAAATACTTAAAACAGTTAACCATCATAAAGATGAAAACACATTCAATGTGTATATATTAGGTGGCCAGCAGACTTACCAAGTGGCTCAAATCAGCAGAATGCGCAGGGGAACTTTCCACTTGACCAATGGAACCAAATTTCGTTCTTTCAGTTGATCCGTTTCCTATGCCAAAGGAGCATACTCGGTAAGAACTTTGACCAGTATGGCATATAAAGTATGGCACTTCAACACAAACATCACAGACCAACCATTAAAAACTGGAGAGATGCTGGGTTGGACATTGTAGGAATCATTTGCCCTCACAATTTGCACTCTTATGCTTTCTATTTCAACAAAAGCTGGATATTGAAAGGCATCGATCAGAAAGAGTGAAAATTTTGCAGCTTGACCGGCAACAGAATCATTCAAACCAGATCCGTTGACAATGCTTGCTGACCCATCACAGTAACCTACTCAAATCCCAAACGTGAGGGTAAATGTCTGAGAAAGGAATCATAAACCAATGACTAGAATAGGCTGATACTATTATATCAGAAAGCAGAATGGCCATGATTATAAGTTGGTAACTTTATGAAATACCTATAAAGACCATGTACTCAAATGGCATTCCGGAGATATTCGTGCTATGATTGAAATCAGATACTGTGAGCAAGAAACTTCCTGGCTCAAATAACCCAAAAGACAACAGCTGAATTCCAGGCAGCATTTCTTCAAAGCGCAAATCCGCAACAGGTACTAACATGCGGGTCCCTTTCTCAAAAATATCAGCATCAAATTCATACAATCCAGGGACAAGGTTTCCATATTGATCTCTCTGGTGAATGAAAATCTCCATTTTAGAGTATATCTGCCACACATTTGTTTCAATCTTCCACCTGGGCTGGCAATTCGAAACATCTAGAGGTCCTAGAGAACACAATCGTGAAGTTCCCCACAACAAGAATATGACTAATCAACATCAGCAGTATAAATTTGATCACAGAAATAGTCAACCAATAAGCACTACAAATAAAGGAAATGTGCATCACCTGGATTCACCTTAAATGACAGTGAGCAACCATTCAAGGTCTGATTCCCCCCTTGCACATCCAACAAAAACGTCCCGGCTTTTGTAGCAAGAAACTCAACAAAGATGAAACCGAACTCATTCCAACCAGTGCTCGAGATGTTAGGCACAGTTGCAACAGAACCGTTCACATAAAGCACAGAGACAGTGAAATTGTAAGGATTTAAATCCTCACCAGTTTGAGTAACATTGTTACCAAATGCATCTCTAGGAACTATAAAGACTACAGCTTTACTCCCGGCAGAGAATTCACTAATTGCATCCATCCATGTCGCAATGCAAACAGAAGGATATATTTTCCCTTTCAAGGAAACAACCAAATAAAAGTCAGAGCAACTTCACCCCAAACAGAAAGATAAAAAAGAAACAGATTAAGTGTCAGAGTAATATAATCTAACACCTGGCGCAACTTGGTAATGGAGAGACGAATCGAAGACTTTCAAAGGGGCATCGACAATAACGATGCTAAACGATCCAGCCATGATGGGAGTGAACGAAATCGCCCAAGAATTCGTGTCATTGCTTGCAGTATCCACCATAATTCCAGAGATGTAACAGCTATTCCCGGCCTTCTCATTGACAGTGAGAACAGGGCTGAAACCGCCGGCGAATTCTCCGAGCACTTTTATCCTTATGGTCGCTAAATCCCCGGCTAGGAATTGGTTGTTGTTATCGTTGTCCATCCAACTGAAGACGAATTTGGGCAGTTCATCTGCAAAACCCGCAGAGAAGAAGAGTGAGCAAGAAAATGAAAGGCACCATTTTTCTTCTTTTCACTTTGGTAATGCAGATTGGACACTTACCTGATGAGTTGGCGGGATGTGAAGCTTGGAAGATGAAGGCGAAGAGCAGGGAAATGGGTGAAAGCAACTGAATCCTGAACGCCATGATTAGTTGAAACTCTGTAGAAAGCTTCTTTCCCATTTTGCCGCTCCGATTTATGAACCAAAAGTTTGTATTCCGAGCGGTTTCTTTTAACGGTTACCTACCTGAGCGCGGGTAGTTTCCTTTTCTACATCTTCCGTTTTCTGAAAGAAGAACTATTACATATTTTGACAGGTTATGTGTTCAAATCTTGACAACAACATCTAATAAAAAAAGTTAGTGTGTTTTTCTCGTGCCCCTGTTTCCCAAAATATAACTTCAAGCTACCACCTACAATGAGTCTATACACAGAAGTTGGCACTTCACCAACCACACAGAAAACTCAACGACCAGAACCATAATCCTGACTAATAGATCGCTTCCTCTTGTGCCTTTCAGACCTCCTCTCATGCTTCCTTCGCCGATATGACCCCTCTTCTTCCTCTTCTTCTTCTCCTGTATCACTCGGCCTCCATCTCTCCTCGATATCTGTAGACCTTCCATGGTACTCCTCATCCCTATCTCTTTGTCTACTTCTGTCATGGTAGTGCTCTTCCTTGCGCCCAGAGTGATGTTTGGAAGAAGCCACAGAGCTCCTCTTGTAGCCTTCTTCGCTCTCTGATTTACTGCGACTTCTATGGCTACGTTCTTTATCATCAATGGAGCTCTTCTTGTGATGCTGTCTTTCTTCCCTGTCTCTAGAACTCCTGCTCCTTCTTGGGGGCGATGGAACCTGCATTGGCAATCACCATCAGGCTAACCGATTTGTTTGACGACAAAGACAAATGGAGATCGATCAAATGAGAAATCTAACAGCAAAAGAGTGGCGAATCAGGTGGTAAGGATAATGACTAGTTAGTTCTCTTGTGTATATCATCACATGAGTATATCATCTCTAGAGTGTTTAATATGTAACACTACTTTCTGTTGTGATATTGGGTATTTAATCCCTACTACTCATTCAATTTCAGGAGTCATTATTCTCTGTATCAGGATTAATGATCTTGCTCGAATCAATCCTCAGAAGATTATGAATGACAGCAGCTACTGTGGATTCCTTTCTAACATTTTAACTATTACACCAAGGAGAAGGGAAAATATCTCGCAATGACATTAGAAGGATAGACTAAAAGATAAACAATTTTTTTAAAGAAGAGAAACCACAAAAGTACCTCGAACCGTGACATGTATTTTCCTTCGGGTGGTGGAGGAATGCCGAGCCTTTTCAACTCGTCGTAAGGAATTGGTCGCCTGCTCACAACCAAAGAAGCCAACGGCAGCAACTTCAGTTACAGTATCAGGGAGAAGCCACTAAAATGGAAAAGCTAATTCGGAAATGAGCATACAGAGGAGCTCGAAATGGTCTATCCCGTCCACCAAACCGAAGCTGTCCAGACTCTTTCTTGCCACCAAAGCCGCCTCCTGTTGAAAAAACGCAACAACAAAAAATTAACAAAATTTCTATGATTTTCATACCTAAAAGCTAGAATGGCTGTCCAGTTTGCAAAAGAGTTCCAGAATGAGAAGAGATTACTAACCTAACCTTCTTGGAATCCACCCTGGCATCAGCTGCTGCCTGTTGTAATCAACTAAAATTTCCGAGTCATCAACATAGGATCGGTGAGCATCCTACAAAGCAGAAAATGCAACACTCATTTGCTGAACGTATTCTACGGACTCTAGGTCAAAAGACAATGACCTTAATCCATAACTCCCAGCCACTCATCACAGTGGTTTCAAGTGTTTGAAAGATTAATTAAACACTCACTTTCCCTTTACCTAGACCCACGTTGAGGCCCCATGACCCATTGAACAGATGCACTATAAAAGTTTGTTACTTTACCTAGATACCTAACTCATAAATCATACGTGAACAACATTTAGATAGATGAGATAAATCGGGCACAAGAGTCTCCACCTTGTATGCACGATACATCTCCCTTTCAGTTTCGAATTCGACAAAAGCATAGCCACGTGAGGCACCAGTTACTGCATAAAATCGAATAGTCAAACAAATTTTGCAGAGACAATGGGTATAAGGTAAACAAGCAAGAAGAAACCACAAGCTATAACTTGTTCCAACTCTCATGCTATCAAACAAGAGACAAGTAGACAATAACTAAAAGAGAAATATTCATCTAAATGACCACCTACAGCAAGTACTAATGAGTTCTACATGAACTTGTCATGAGCAATTACAGCTCCTCTTACTGCAACAAAGCTTTATACCCAATTAAACCTACTTCAGATAGCTCACTTGATCATCTAATTCAGCATCATATCGCCACTAGACCGGGCATGGAACAATAAACCAAAAATCTCCTGAGCTACTGCAGTTCAAATTACACCAAAATTGCATCAAACCTTACCAATGTCCCTCACTATCCGCAAATTCTTCACATGGCCATACTTGCTCATTGCCTGGTCATAATAACACCAACGTTACAGTCCGAAAACAAATTGCATTAATTCAGTAACATCAGCGAGTTCTGCCGTAAAATCGAAAATAGGGTTTTGGACTGAAGGAATGCACAGAAATAGGGCAGGAAGAAATTTCACCAATTCGTCACTTTCAAACTTTACCTTGCGAAGCGACTGATCGTCGGTGAAATGAGAGAGGCGACCAACGAAGATTGTGCAGTAAGGGTCGCCGATTATCTTGGGGTCGCCGGAAGGCTCATCTGCAAGCCAACAAACCATGAACCAGTGGGAATTTTCAGAGAGGACGAGAAATGAAAAGGAGGTAAAAGCGAGAAATAGTTACAGAGGCCGGCGGAAGAGCAGAGTTGGGCGCGGTAAACTGCGTTATCGTGAGGGACAACATCGGTGCCGTCGATGCTTCCGGCTTGAATCGGGTGGTACGATTCGGCGTAGAACACCGAGTTGACATTGCCGCCGCCGCCGACGATTCTGCTCATCGAATCAGTTCCGTTCAACTGTCTCTGTAATTCGCGCCGTTAATATTGGCCGTTTTGGATGACTAATCGGTAATTAATTACCTAAGATTCAATCAAAGCATCTAACTTTTATTCAATATCAAATTAGGTCCTGAACTTAGAATACTTTAACATTTCAACCGAAATCGTAACCATTATTCCATTACACACCATAGCATCACATTATTTTAGTACATATATCTACCGGCTGGAATGTTGCACCTTGTCCCCGCCGGTGTAAATTTAACATACCATAGTCGAGAAACCATAGACATATTCATACGTTATTACATTTTATCCATGCTCCCGATCATAATGTTCGGGGTTTACTTTTATTTCAGAAGGAGGTCATCAATCATCATCATCGTCCTCCTCACACACACGATTATCGACATTCAAGTCTTGGATCATTAATTAGTACGAAAAACGGAGAGCACGTGGAAGAGCACGATTCACGATTCCAGAGACCGGCAGAAGGATGAGCTCTTGATCATCGTTATCCTGTGAGGCATGTGGCGAAGGGGTCTGGAGGAATCGCTTGAACCAGCAAGCCGAGCTCTTCGGGATCCGGGCAAATTTTGGATCCTTGAAGTCGATGTAGTAGAGACCGAACCGGCTAGTGTACCCGTCGGCCCACTCGAAGTTGTCGGCATACGACCACGCGAAGTATCCTCTCACGTCCACCTTATCCGTCCTGCAACATTAACTCGTGATGATGAGAACTTGAACACGATCGATCAAATCAAATTTCGATATCACTGTTATGAAATCTCGTACCACTTTCGAAATCCTTTATAATCTCCAAACTATAACTTACTTGTTGGCCTCCAGGACATTGTGGAGATGCTTGTGGTAGTATTTTATCCTTCGCTTGTCGTTGGTCGCCTCTACTATCGATGTCGTTGGATCGTCTTCTTCAGAAACCCCTACATACGTTGATGGTGTACACAACATCGTATGTGTACGTATGTCATACCGTATTTTATACGAATGAATCTACGTATGTAAGTACATACATACCATTCTCAGTGATGTAGATAATTGGACTCCCGTACGTGCGCTTGGTGTAACTCAGGAGTTTCCTGATCCCCTCAGGATAGATGTACAACCAAGATGAAGCCTTGCAAGCATTATTTGATCATTAATTGTGGTTAATTAATGTCTTGATAACTACTGATCTTAATTAAGAATCGAAATTCGACGATTAAATACCTTTTCGCCAATCGGTTTCCCGTCTTTGATAGCTTATAAACAAAAGTCATAAGAGATCAATCAACATTAAGTCACGGTCGTAATACCAAATATATATATGTGGTAATACCCTAATGCAAGAAGGGAAGAGATTAATCAATCGAAATTGCATGCATGCATAGATCGATACGTACGAGTCTGGATGACACGAGAATCGGTCGCGTATCTGAGCTTAAGAAGGTTGAGATTAGGGTTGTCCTTGGCGTAGTAAGTGGTGTAGTAATTGAGGCCGAGGAAATCGTACGAGTTTCTGAGCATATCGGCCTCGTGGGCCAGGATCTCAGGCAGTCTTTGCCCTAGCAAGTCCTTCATCGTCCTTGGATAGTGACCATACGTGACAGGGTTCATAAACCTATATAGTAATTAAAACCATCATTAATGAGTTAATGATCATGAGTAAAAATCATGGTTAGAGAGAATGAGACTAGTTAATCATCATATGGACAATGTGATTGGTGTGTATATTAATCAAGCTATAATTAGTATACTACTCACCAACCAAACATGAAGTCCATGGCTCTTTCAGCTGCATCATTGTCTGCTTGGGAATCAGAGTAAGGCTCGAACCAGAACGTTACAAGTGTTATCCCGATCTCTCCGAGTTTGCGTCCTTCCTTAAACTGGGAAAATTTTTAGCAGAGATAACCGTTTTAGCAAATGATCATATCAGATTCATAATCTAATGTTCTTCCAATAATTCAAATTATTGTGACCGGTTCGTTTTTTTATATAGTATCAGAGTATTCGATGATGATCGAGTGATCTTGTATTGGAATCATGGCGATGCTCAAGATTGAGCACATAGTATTATGTCATGTATTAAGAGGCATATTCGGTCATGACGACTCTCAATGTCATAACTCTCAATCTTAAGTAAATTATACCACCTATTTATAATCGAATATCCCCCCAACAATACGGGTTATTAGGAAAAATCGGTTTTTGATATGGTATATATAAGAACTTTCGATGACGACTGAGATGTCTTGTGCTCAAATTCCAAACGCTTCCTAGTATTAAACATATGGTATTTAGACATATATGTAAAACAATATATAAGTCGATGAACTGGCTTTCGTTTTAAGTGTCGTGCGTGTTATAGCTAGTCAGCTCCCAACAATTCGAGTTACCGGATCGATTGGTATGCATGAAAAAACACGCGATTTACCGTGCGCTCATGATTTTGTCTCCTGCTACACACGTTTAAATTATGATAACTCAAATTATTGAAACCAACCTGGCGCATGTCTTTTTTCTTACCTTATACTTTTCACGGTATAACTTCACGGCCTCGGCATGAGCCAGAAGGAGGTGATGAGCGACTCGGTACGGCTCGACGGCCGAGTCGCCGGCCTGGCACGCTCGGTTCACCCAGTCGGAGCATCGCCCCGGCGCGAACACGCCTTCCTCGAACCCTTTTACGACGTAGGTCCACGGCTCGTTCAGAGTGATCCACTTCTCCACCTTGTCGCCGTATCTCTCGAACAACAAGTCGGCGTAGTCTCGAAAGTCGTCGCTAAAGATATAAAATTAGTGGTAGAATATCAGTTGTGGTGTTTAATTAAGAAAGGTGGATTAGAGTAGTAAACGTTTAATTTACGGTTTGCTCACACAATGTTGCGGCTCAAGAATCCGCCGTACTCGTCGACGAGCGCCTGGGGAGTGTCCCAGTGGAAGATCGTGACGTAGGGCTTCATGCCGGCGGCGATTGTCCGGTCGATGACCTTGTCGTAGAACTCGAGCCCTTCTGTGCTCAGCCCTCGACGTCTCTTACCATCTGATTATAAAATGATCAATCAATTAATCATCACAACAATAACAAAAAAAGAAAAAAAACAATATTGCGTAGTATCGCGAAAATCATTTCATATCGCTAAAACGTTTTATTGGTTTGTGTTTCGGTAGGCGATTTTTTCGGTTGGATCGTTCAGTTTGCAAAATGCACAAAATCGGTTTCTCTTCGTGTCTTTATACAATTTTCAATTCGATGAACGTAGTATTAATATACTTACGAGGGATGACTCTTGACCATGAGATGGAGAATCGGTAAGCTTCCATGTTCATGGCTTTCATTCTATTGATATCATCCTGCCAAGTGCATGCCAAAATAATTAAATCTTTCAGCGTATTACATTTACATATATTTCATCCCATGTTAACTATACGTATATATATACCTCAAAGAATTCAAAGGAATTAATCGCCTGATCTCCTGTTGTTCCGTCCGCAATCCTATCTGTATTGTAATACGTTACATATATGACATCGAATAATGTAACATGTTTTTTCGTACTGAAAATAAATGAATATGTACTGATGATGACCTGGAAACTTATGCGTGAACCTGTCCCATATACTCGGACCCCGGCAGCTCTTATTCGCTGCACCTTCGATCTGTTAAATCACCGTCAACTAAACCAATCAGACCAACGGAAAAATAAACGATTAATTATCGTCGTCTGAGAAGTCAAAGGTGCAATCCATTAATATCGAACGAAAGTTTACTCTGCCGGAAAACTCTCTAGTTCTGCATGCATGCATATGCACATGCACGAGACCGATCAAAAACTTTAACCTGGTACGACGACGTGGCGGTCCCGAACACGAAGTGGGAAGGGAACATTTTACGAGTCAGTTTCGGGGTGAGACCGGAAGGGATGGGCGGGTCGCCGGCGCACGGGTCGTAGTCGTCGGGGACGGCAGAAGGAGCCGGCGCCGACGCCATCATCAGTTTCCCGGCCAGCTGATGATGATCGTCATGATTAAGATCATAAGCCAGCAGTGAGCTGGCGAGAAGCAGCAGCTGCGGCAGAACTACAACTAGCAGAAGAGCAACAGCGTGATTAAGTCGAGGGTTTTTAGGATTAATCACCATTGCGATGGGATTAGCAATGATAATTACTTTGATTATGAGGTTTAGTGTGTGGTGGTATAAATGGGCAGCCAGCTTTATATATAGAGCTGGGGATTAATTGCATGCACACGTAGGGTTTTGCACTGATACGTTAGGTAGAGATTTATCAGTAATTAATTAATTGATGATTAGGTTAGTGCATGTGTGAAATAACGTGTTTTTGAGAATAATTAAAAGAGATAATGTAGGGTTTAGCTTCTGGAGGGAGAATCAGATTCTCCGTTGTGTGTAGATGGGTTCAATCTTTTTCTTGCAGTAGCTATTTTTTACCAGTTACTATTACAGCATAATGATTGGTTTAACTTGACATGATAACATATTTGAATTGGGTTCTACGGTGTACTCACAAAAATATGAGTGTGTATTGTGCAATAAACTCTTAACATTATCCTTATGGTATCGAATATTGTATTTTGATGGGTAATACTAGTTTACTATAATGATATAATGTAGGATTGCAACTAATTAATGTATTATTCTAAGCTTTAAATTTTGAAATTTGAAATCCTAACACTAAATCCCAAATTGTAAACCCTAACCCCAAATCCCTAAACTCTAAATCCTGCCAATCAAAGTAATTATCTTTGATGAATTTTGTGCAAATTCATGTGTTTTTTTGTCCATTATATCGCAAGTGACGATCGATATCGTTTTGATTTGAATTCCCTGCTCATAATGACCATTATGAGACAGATGTATAACATGCACTTAAAAAAGTGAGTGAATGGAGACAAAACCTTCATATACATCAAACATGTGTAAGATTGATGTCTCTCTCCATTAGTTAAATCTCACTTGAGCTTCCAACGAATTTTTTTCCTTTCTTCGAGATGGAGGCTTGTGCATTTATGCGTAATAATTGCTCGATCAAATGGTGAATTCTCCTCGTGAGAGATATTTACTTCATGATCGAGCATACACTCTGGTCTCAAGATTTATACTTAGTTTTCTCTCTCGACATACTCAATTGTTCACGCGAGGACATACCATGCCCCCAAACTGACACATTCTCATCCATGACAATGGTATGTTTGGAATAACCATCCTAATTCGAGATACTCGACTCAAACAGCTTGACAATCGCACCGAATGAAAATCGATCAGAGCAAAATTTGTTAGATACTAAATGCATCTTTTCTCGTTACTAATTATCAGTTATTTTGGTTAATTAACATGATCGAGGATATGAAGACCCCAGAGAATAGAAACTGGAGCTAGAATGTTCAAGTAAGAGAAATTTCAGTGTACGTGTCTGAGAATATTGGCTCTTTTGGTGCTTTGAATTTATAATAAAATAATAAATCGTATCATATCTCCCTTTCAAGTACCCTAAATCTATGCTTTTATCTTCATTTGCCTCAACTTTCAAGTGAAGATTAGCTAGCTGTGAAGAATATATGGTGGGAGAGCAATTCCAAGTGAGAAATGGGACAGAGAGGATCCAATGTGGTGAAATTTACAGTTCCTTGACAACTGAAATCAGATTAACCTTGCCAAAGGGTTCCATAGTTTCACTGAGATAAATGCATGTCAGTAAATGAGGCAACAATCACCATATCCATATTCAAGAGATCTTTTCAAGTTTCAGGGTTCTGTACAAAAAGAGTCTTCGATTCTACGAGTGCAAGATACACAAGATCAACAGACTCGCAAAGTAATCTGATACAGAACAAGGGTTTCCATGAAGATTGCTTGCAACAGGCTGAGAAGGATTTGAGGACATACTCTGCTCGCACTCCAGTTTGCAGAAGTCGGGAATGACATGATGTACCATCTGGACTGTTAGTGTATGCATGATCATGTTGGATGAGAGCCACAGGGTTCTGAGTTTTATGTTCCTTTTAGGATTTCACCGCCGAGCAACTGCCAACTTCGGTCTTAACTTCCTTACTGGGGACAGCATCTTTGATGAGGTTCGCCTTTTTTGCAGCCCTTCTTTTGGCTTGAATTTGGCGTACGTATTCAGCGACTATGACGTGGAACTTGGGAGCGAGTTTACTTGATGAAGAAACGTTGAGGCCGGCTTTCTTCAACGCACGAGTCATGTGCTGCTGAGCCTTCTGGAAGTGGACAGTACACAGAGCAGGAACTGTTGATCTCAGTATAGGCTTCCCACAGGTAATTGGTCCAGCTTGAGCACTGAGGATATAACCAATTACATACCTATTAGTGCACAATCATCTATGTGGTCTCTAAATTTGATATGGTTTCACATTAACAGTACACAAATTGTCACAAGATGCCAACTACAGAATTAATAACAATGGGAAAAGAATATCTCCCTTAGGACGTGCTGCAGGAAGAAGAACATTAGTAAAGCACCAAGTATCAATGTCAAATGCAAACACTGTAACAGAGAACTCTACAACTTTTCTGTCCACATTTCAGTTAGTGCAACCTTCTCTGAATGCAGACACAGTAATAGAGAACCATACAGCTTTTCAGTCTAGATTTCAGATTTACTGACTACATTTAGTAAAGCAACCACGTCCCAACGCCAAATGCAAACAATTACTGGGATGCAACCCCGCCATATTTATCCAACCTTCTCTGAAATGTCTACTTAAAGCTATCATCTATCTACCCTTTTAGACAATTCAGTGCACTCACTATTTCTCACTCTTAGCACTTATAGAAGCAAAACCGATCGAGTAAACAAATGCCAACTTATCTACATTTCAAAGAAGGTTGGATACCTATGTCTGGTTGGCAAACAATCTACAAGAAGAGCTTAATGATTTAACCATCTTCATCTGTTTCAGTATCTTAAACACTTGCATTTCAGTTATACACAAGTTTCATCCTTCTCTACACAGCAAAGTACAAAATAGTTGCATTTCAGCCATGGATCACATTTTAGTTCAGTAACAAAATACTCGCACAGCTAAGTACAACCCATCACTGCAACTCATTATCTACAAAGTTTCGAATTTGATTTCTGCAATTCGATCTGCAAACCTATAAAAATACAACTTCCCGAACCACTAACGGTCCCAAGCTCGCAGTTACTAATAGCCCTGACTTAAAATAGCCAGCAGCAAGCTTCCATTATCAAAACGTTCATCCAAGGCTACAGAGCAATCTTTCCTTCCAATGCTTTCCACCATACAAGTTCAATGCAATAGAAACGACAATCAGGGCCGAATCAATCATGAAAAAACTGATAAACCAAACCCCAAAGAACAAGCAATTGCAACTCGAAAATGCAGGAGGGGATAATCAATCAATCAAACTCCTAACTACCAAGAATCTTACTTTAGACACAAGCAACAACGAAGGCAGTTGAAAATGAAAAGGAAGCATCGAGTTCAGGCAAAATCAAACCTCTTGATGACGAACGTGCAGGCCTTGTAGAGCTTCTGCTTGGTATCACAAAGTATATGAAGGTGGCAATAGGCCGTCAAAGCCATTGCCTTCAATCTACACCCGGGAGATTTACACCTACTGCTCAGACAATTCTTCATCTCAATTTCCCCCTTGCTACTCAAATTCCCATTGCTATTATTACCACCACAAGCCGCCGCCGCCGCCACAATCGGCAAATTGCCTCCATGATTGCTCTCATCCATCGCCTCCACAGAGCTGAAATTACCTCCTTCCCTCTCCCTCTCCCCCTCCCCTCCATCCTCTAACCCTACCTGCTGCTGCTCCTCTTTAAAAGGGCTGACCCCGTACTTCCAGTAGTACTCCCTGTACTGCCCCTTGAGCTCCTCCATTAGCGCCCAGTAGTGGTCGCGGTAGCATCGCGACAGCTGCTTCAGTAGGTGCGACCTCCGCTTCAGCAATTCGTGGCGGGTGAGGTGCGTCGCGCGCGAGAACGGGTGGTTCCTGTCGTGGAGAGCGATCGGCGCCGTCTCCGCCGCGGCGGCGGAGGAGGAGCTAGGGTTGTTCGAATTGAGGCTCTGTGAAGGAGCTCCGGCGGTGGATGTGGAGTTGAGGGAGCTGCGAGGTGGTTTGGAGGAGGACGGCGCTTGGTTGTTGTGGTGGTGCTGGGCGGCCGCCGTCATCGTCGATCGGAGACGCGAAAGGGCGAGAAAGAGAGAGGGGGAAGAGGAGAATCGGTGTTTCTTTTACAGTTAACCGCCGTCTCCAGATTGTATTCATTTAATTATGGGCCTAAACGGCGGCGATGGGCCCGGACGATTTTGTGTTGATCCAATTAGCAGGATAACAGGCCAGCACGTGGGCTGGGCCCTGGGCAGCCTTCTCGTGGCAGAGGCCAGTTCCGGAGAAATGTATCGGTTTATTTAATGGTTCGACCGACGGAACCGGCCGGGTACGACAATCCAAGATCAAACAGAATTAGGTGGGAACTTTGTGTGCTCTGAGTAACACTGTAACAGTTTGCCTTTGCGCCATTGACAGCGATTTCTTCGATACTAACGAAGAAGGAACGGGGAAGAACTTCTCAAACCAACACTAGAATTCAATTCGGCAGCAGCTGAACAATGCTTTCCGTTAGATCCATCTTCCGGCCTCTCCGCCATTCCAGGCATTCAATCTGCTTCCTACATTCAGCTGCTGCTTCCCCTTCTTCATCTTCTTCTTCAGCCGCTGCAATTGAGGCTGGCCGAGCAATCAGAGAAGGTCCACGCAACGATTGGACCCGACCGGAGATCACCGACGTCTACCAATCCCCTCTACTCGATCTCCTCTTCCATGGAGTTAGTTTCGCTTCAACTGGGCTCCGCTCACTTTTACCTAATTAGCTCAGTAACCCAGTTTCGGTTTCGTAGCTGATTCATCTCTCCTTTTTTTGTTGCACAGGCTGAGGTTCATAGACATGCTCATAACTTCAGGGAAGTTCAGCAATGCACTCTGCTTTCCATTAAGACCGGTGGGTGTAGCGAGGACTGTTCTTACTGCCCTCAGTCGTCTCGTTACCAGACTGGTTTGAAAGCCCAGAAGCTCATGAACAAAGATGCTGTTCTGGAGGCTGCAAAAAGGGTACATCTTTCTCACTTTTCTCTGGACTTGGTTGTTTTTTGCCTGTCAAGTTTGGTGCTTTGGTCAGTTCTTCATAGTGGGTTTTCGTGGTTTAGTGATACTTAGGCAATTTTATCGGCTATCCCTGAAGGGACCATACTTGGGCAATGAATGTGGCTTCTCAGTACTAGTTTCATGAGTGAAAAATGAGTAAACGACCATATGTTTGCATCGACATTGCGACGGTGAAATCGATATCTGGGATGATGAGTATGGTTAGAACTGAGGGAAATTGATGTGAACTAGTGGAGAAGTTTTTAGGTGTGACATAATCTTACTGAAAGAGTGTTCCTTCGATCTCAAAAAACGGGTAGGATAAAGGAGTCATATTTGAGCTTTAGTGTAGTCAGTAAGTTTGCATGTCCCTTGATCGTAGTATTTGTTCCATGGCCAAACTGCTCTTGCGTGATACACCAGTCACAGCACTGACAGCAGCACATGTTGGAAGAATTTGAGTGTTATGGATAGTGCTTTGGTATATTCTCTATCAAGAAAAGTGACTCAATAGTCATCTTTGGTTATTTAATATTTGAGTTCATTACTGCTGCTGTGCTATGACAGGCTAAAGAGGCTGGCAGCACACGTTTTTGCATGGGTGCAGCCTGGCGAGATACAGTAGGAAGGAAGACCAACTTCAACCAGATACTTGATTATGTAAAAGAAATAAGGTAGACAATCACATTATAATTTCGTCAATAATGTAGCTGCAAAGTAACACTGCTAGTTATAGCATAGGATCACGTGATCTAAGCTGGTATAAAACTGTCTGCAATTGAAAGGGGAATGGGAATGGAGGTTTGCTGCACCTTGGGAATGCTAGAGAAGGAGCAGGCTGCAGAACTCAAGAAGGCTGGCCTTACAGCTTATAATCACAATCTTGATACCTCAAGAGAGTATTACTCCAATGTTATCACTACAAGATCATATGATGAACGTCTTAAAACCCTGGAACATGTCCAGGAAGCTGGTATTCATGTCTGCTCAGGTGATCTATCGAATCCTCAAAGAAAAAGATGTAATAAAAATGCGGGTAGCCAGTGTTGTCTACTCAAGAACTTGTTACAATAATATGAACACTTCATGATTTTGTATGACTGAGATTTTGTGTTGCTCTTTCTTTATTTTGAGTTAGAATATGTTATTTTGGAGGACAATTGAACTAGATATTGCAAGCTGAATTGTAATATTTGCTTTTATCCTAGGTGTCTTGCCTTGTGAAATGAAGCTGATAGAGTATGCAGCTAGAAATGTCAAATTGAGTTCATTGTCCATTCACTTGCTTCATTTTTTAATGTTATCTGACGTTCAATAGACATCTATCTACATGCTGACTCTCTCGAGTTGCTATATATGTTATCAATGCTGAAGAGGTTATACTCCGTTACAGCTCCCAAACTGAGACTTCGAAAGAAATCGGTCCACAACTGGTGCTTTCATGAAGCAGTGTGGCACTTTTCTAAGTTGTGCCTGTTCTCTTTCTAAAATCTAAGGACTAATAAAGATAGATAAGTGGAGTGACTATTTTATTTCCATTTTTAACAGGAGGCATAATCGGGCTGGGGGAAGCAGAGGAAGACAGGGTCGGTCTGTTGCATACGTTAGCAACACTTCCTAAGCACCCAGAGAGTGTTCCTGTTAATGCTCTTGTTGCAGTGAAAGGCACACCTCTGGAAGACCAAAAGGTCAGTTCTTTAATGTGAACCGACTGATAACTACCATCAATTCATGTACTCTCAGACGAATGTGTTGTAATGGTTTCTTTTTATCTGTTTTCTTGTTCCTTCTGCAGCCTGTGGAAATATGGGAAATGGTGCGGATGATTGCGACAGCACGTATAGTGATGCCGAAAGCAATGGTGAGGCTGTCAGCTGGGAGAGTGCGTTTCTCGATGGCCGAGCAGACGCTTTGTTTTATGGCCGGTGCAAACTCGATCTTCACTGGGGAGAAGCTGCTGACGACTCCTAACAATGATTACAATGCTGATCAACAAATGTTCAAGCTCCTTGGCTTGACCCCCAAACCACCAAGTTTTGGTGAAGAAACTGAGGATTGCCAGCAAGAAGCTGCTGCTGTTTCAGGTTCAGGTTGAGAAAACTTTAAAATGTGAGGCCCTGCTGTAGTAGACCTAGATTCTTGTTTTGTTTGGATGTTAGGCAGCAAGAGAAGAAGATATGTTGTTGTAAGTTAAATTTAGGCATCGACAACAATTCGATTCACACCAAACCAACGTTTGAATTGGATCTGATCGAACTGCGTCATAATTCTATTCAATATTTAGAATTTTTTGTTTCAGTTTCATTGAATTCCTTTGAAACCGAATCGAATCAAATAGAATCGAGCAAGTTTTTACTCCAGTTCTGGCCTCCTTATATGTCTTTCATTTCAGTTCATTTGTATGCCAATTTCGAATTGATTGTACAATGAACCATGATAACATACACCTCCTACTCGTATCAATTATCGATTTAGAGAACTATACACATTCGAACACAACATTTCTCGATGAACTGATTCTTCCACACGTCAAATAATCGATTAACCTTACTATCAGAGTCATTTGATAACATCAGCGTTGTCTTCATATTTACTATTTTGTTTCCTTCCTAATTTTTCCATTTTAGGTCAGCGGCCCTGGGCATGTGAAACAGAGGATAAGTATGAAAGTAAGAACTAAGAAGCTTTGGTTCATCCGCCTGCCAACTGCCCTTTCCCGTTCCTTTCTTTCTTTAAATTCGTGAAAACGAAAGCGAGAAAGAAAGGAGAAGTCCAATCATGGCGGCTTCATATTTTTCTCTGTGTTAGGTTCAGCATTAATGATTTCTCTTTTCTTGCTTTCCCATGTTCTTATATAAACTATATATGTTAGATTATTTAAGAGGATCATGAATTTGAGCAACTGGGTATCTCTGGGTTTTCTTGTTATTGCCGTCTTCCTTTTCTACACCTACCAATCTGATCTGCCTTCCTTCTCCACTGTGATAAACATGGCTGCTCAACAAGAAGACTCTTCTTCTTCATCATCCAGCTCCATCTATGACTTCACAGTCAAGGTACTCTCTTTTCCCCTTTTTCCTTCTGGGTTTTCCATTTTGTAAATACTGGTTTAGTCTTAACTTCAAACTGGATCAAAATTCCAATCCTTGATTAAGCTGATTAGATCACCCTAATTGAACTTCCTCTCAAAATCAGGATGAAAGATTGTGATCTGGGAATTGCAGTTGCTGATTGTTCTTTAATTACTGTGTTTGGGCATTGGTTTTGTTGCAGGACATCAAAGGGAGTGATGTGAGTCTTAGTGAATATAAGGGAAAGGTTCTTCTCATTGTCAATGTTGCTTCCAAATGGTATTCTTTAATTCGGGTCCTTCCATGGATTTAGCATTTCATAGCTTGGCATCATCAGAACTGTGTTGTGATGGTAATAGCAGTAGCAGTAGTTCATGCTGTGACTTTGCATTTACTTGATTGCAGTGGATTGACACAATCAAACTACAAGGAGTTGAATGTGTTGTACCAGAAGTACAAAGACCAAGGTTAGTTAATAGTTAAGTCTTTCCAGCTCTCACTCTATCCAGTTATAAAGGTGGCAAATGAGTCGAGCCTAGTTAGGTCAAGACTGTGTGTCAGCCCAGATTATGGTGGGTTGGGCTGATTCAGTGCTCATACCAGCAGCTGGTCACTAAGTGTTGCAGATCAAACACTCGATCAATCTAATAAACAGGATGGTTAAGTTATGACGGTACCTGCCAGTCAAGATGAGTCTGAATTGTAGTATGAAGTGAAGGCTAGTTGGATCATTATGAATCACAAATCACTTTGGTACGTAGGCCGGGGCTGGATTAACATTCTGTCACCTCTCTGAAATTCTTATGTGGCAGGGCTTGAGATCTTGGCCTTCCCATGCAACCAGTTTGCTGGACAAGAACCAGGGAGCAATGAGCAGATTCAGGAAACTGTCTGCACCATTTTCAAAGCCGAGTTCCCCGTCTTTGATAAGGTATATCAATATGCTAGCTAAGCTAGTTCGCAAACATTCGAACTTAACATGACTTGAATGTTAATGAACTGTGTGTGTCTATGTGCAGGTTGATGTGAACGGGAAGAACACAGCACCATTGTACAAGTTCCTGAAAGCAGAGAAAGGAGGGTTTCTGGGAGATGGCATCAAATGGAACTTCACCAAGTTCTTGGTGAACAAACAAGGCAAAGTCGTGGAGCGCTATTCTCCCACCACATCACCTCTCAAGATTGAGAAAGATATAACCAACTTGTTGGAATCTTCTTAAACAAGATGCAATTTGGTTTAGGTATAGATCCAATCGCGTTCGTCACTGCTGTTTCTGTTCGCTGCGATTCGCGAGTCTGATGTGGATCGAATCATTGCTTGCTCCAGTTAAAAGAGCCAGCAGCAAGGCAGAGGTTGTGTAATATGATTCCCTTGAACATGAATTGCCCTAATAAATCAAACAATGTTCTCCTTTTTGCTGTCTTTTTCCTTCTTTGGGGAAAAGGTTCTGGTGGCACTGGTTTTTAATCAGCCTTTCTAATGGCAGCTCATTGCTGAACTGTCATGACACAGATAGATGCTTCAAAGATATTCCTTTGCATCTGAATTTATATGTTTTATCATTCTGTTATGTGTTGTCATATTAAGCCAAGTATCTATTTGCTTTTACGTGCCAGAAATTATATTCTGATTGTTGCCAAAATCTTTCCCAACTAGTGCTGGAGATTGAATTTGACCTGGAAAACTCCAATGCATATAACCAGCTAGCCACTCAAATTCATTAAAATACGAACATGGGAGATTTAGGAGAATCAGCCAAAGAGGAGACTCGAATGCGACATTTAAAACGTTTAAAATTATTTGATAAATTAATAATTCATATAGACGAGATGAATGTGTCACAATGAATTTGTTTGGTGGAACTGAGTGTCAATTGGGGCTGATATTAACATAAAACGATAATGATTGAAAATGTGGTGTATCTCAAAAAAAATTGCTCGGAGAGCTCAATTCCTCGAGATTGGTTTGGACATCATCGACAAGAATCTTATTACATTAGTGCAATTCTTATGAAAACCATAAGTAAACGCAAAAAGGAACTCGATTTTCATGTGCAGATATTAAGTAAGTACGAGTCAACCACCAAATCAACTAATCAATCATGTTACTTATATAAGTTGATTCGATTTTCCAACTTGCAATAAGGGACAAGAAAAAAATAGCAAGTGGTGGTGAGAAAGATTTGCTTAACGTCAGGAACACTTCCAGTGTCATTTTCAGAGCATCTATCTTTCTAGATAAGGATAACCCTACTCCAACTCAGCCATATCAAATCATGGACCACGTTTCACTGGAAGTAGTCAAATTGGATTTCCCCATTTGCAGAGCTCGTCTGAAACTTGTATACAGATCATAAATAACCATACAAGAGCTCCTCATAACATTTGCAACAAAGAAGAAGAGTTCCAAGGAACATTAATGTTCCTCGAGCAAGCAAATGCCAAGAAAACAACAGGTGTCTGCAATCATTCAATATGACAATATCAAACACCTAACTTCTACCAGACTTACTTCTCTGTACAAAACTGAACTCAAATCATTGACGAATCTACCAGTTTCATCAACCAGCTCAAATTGCTATCAAAGCATCCTCGACTGATAGAAGAAACCACGGCGGTAAGTTAGTAGATTCCAAAGCACTGGTCTGGATGAACCACTACAGACTTGAACTCTGGAATCCTAATTGTCCACATTGTAATTCACAATGTGATTTGGAAACATTCCACAACTTGCAAGATGTGGTGGAGGAAGAAAAGCTCAGGGAGGTAAGATGGATGTAGTTGCAGACTTGCAGCACTTCCTTCACATCATCCACCCATCTATCTGCTCTACCAGCCAAATGGATACAGAGACATCTATCCGAGTAAAAATTAGTCCGTTAATGCTGATAGAAACTTTAGAGAGATGTTAGAAATCAAAGAGAGCCAAAAAAAAATAGAAGGGTTCACCCATCTGCGATAACTGAACCCAAAACAAATAGTGAAGAGAATATCAGTTGCAGGACTTCTTCCCTGTCATCCATCCATCTGAATTGTATGGTTGGTCTATCCAATATGACAGATATGCATGTCAGTCATCATGTTAGAAACAGCAGCATCAATCTCACAATTGATGGCCGCTCGACAAAGTAAAAGTAATGTTAGAATTGATGAGCAAACATTTGCATCAATCGCCCATCTAGGATCATCGAAACCAAATCACAGAATGGTGCCAGTTAGACTAGTTACCTCGGCAGAGTTATAGAGAGTCAGTGAGCAAGTAGTTGGGGGAGGCTCTAATGTAGCAAGTCTCACCACTGCATATAAATAAGCAGCAGCTCAGACTGGATACTGGTAGAGAATCAATCGATCAAACCATATTAACCATCAAAAAGATTTATTCATTATTCTCCAGTAATGTACTGAGTACAATAGTCATAGTAAGAATATATATAGAAATCTATCTTAGCTTCCACCGAGTTCAAGTCAAGAATCATTTCACTGTTGTTGAGTTAATCCAAAACCTGAAACATACCCTTCCCTCTCCCGCCTTCTTCTTCCTGAACCCCAAGATCATTAGATATCATCCTGGCTGCTCCACATTAGCTTAAGAAAATGCAGGATCTCCAGTTTCCTGCAAGAACTTGAGCTGGAATGAATCAAACGAGCAAAAGCTCCTGACTTTACAGGTCATCGATCGCCTTCCACAGCCTAATTCCCTGATTCCATTCCCCATATTGCATACAAGCAACTTCCTTGAACGAAACCCATCAGCTGCATAATTTGACTGTACAAGCAACAGCCTGAGCCCAATATTTTAACCTTGCTTTCACATCTTCCGGATGATCACCTGCGGATGAACAAATCAAGAGAGCAAAACAGTGAGATTTACGGAACCAAAATCAGAAGAACTTAAATTCTGCAATCCCCATTAACCCGCATAAGCATAATGATCCTTACTGTACTGCCATGGCGATACCACCAACAGAACTCATCATGACATCAACAAGATAAAGAATTTTCTAACCAATCACCCAAAACCAACTCATCCCAATAACTCAAAAGCATAAACGAACCAGAATTTGATCTATACAACCCCTAACTAATGCAATCTAGCAAAAATCAAAATAAAAAATTAGACTCACCAGGACTGGAGATCTTCCAATTAGCAATAGGGCTGGACGCAGCCTGATCTGAAGCAGCAACTCCATCAGCAGGAGAACCATCAAAAGACGAATCCATTCCCTCGGCAGGAGAAGAAGATTTCTGATTGGTATCATCAAGAAACTTCTGGCTCATGGAGTAACAAAGCTCGAGAGCCGGCAACGTATTGCAAAGCTCCGGGATCTCGTCGTAGCTAAATCCACCGAACCCAAGATCCAAACACCCTTTCAGCTCATCCAGATCGTCGTCCGTCAAGCTCTTCGCCCTCTTCAAATCATCATCGGCGGCGCCACTGCTGCTGGTTCTGCTCAAATCGACATACCCTTCGAGCAGGACCTGGTTCTTCTTCTTCGTCCTGCTCCTCGACAAACGCCGGTCGATGTTGCTCCTTCCGTCGCCGCCTGATCTCTGGAGCTTCTCCCATATCTGCTGAGTCTCAGGGTAGAAAGATTCGGAACAATCGTCATCCGCAAAGCTCCGATTGATCTTCTGAGCTTCGCTGGAAACCCTAAAGGAGGGAGAGTTTGATTCTCCTCCATTGTTGATCTGGCGAGGGATTCTTCCCATTTTTTGGGCTTTCTACTGATTTCTCTCCGTTTCCTCAACTGGTTTTGGTTCTTTCCCGGAAAAAGGTGCGGGCTTTATGTTGGTGGAGTTGTGCTGTGAGGAAGAGAAGAGATGGTGCTTATAAAGCTGGCACCCAATCATGAGATCCCCCAACCAAATTTTTTTGAGAGGGGAAATTTAAATAATAATATTTAAAATATAAAAATATACCAAATGATGGTAAAGGTAATTATTGGTGTTTTTTTAATAATTATTAATGTTCAAATGAATATAATACATTTGGTGGAGGTTAGTTATAAAATTATTGGTAGTGAGGTGGGTTTGTTTGCTAGGGTTTATGTTCATGTCAATTACATATTGAGACTTGTAATTGTAGAACTTTCTTCTTTTAAACCCTTCTCATCCAACTTTGGTTGGTTGTTTAGCTAGACATGATCAGGTTTATACTCTCATCAACTCAGTTTTCGAACAAACAAAACGCCTCAACATCCACATTAAATTATGTACGACCTTTCTAGAATTCAAATTCAATTTATGTTTTAATATGTTAAGTTATTAATATGCCTCAATCACTTATGATAAAAAAAATGATTCAAAGACACCTAACAACTAGCCTTGCCCCCTCCTCCGGCGACTTGTATAATGTGGGGATATTATACATACATGTCAAATCACATGTGATCCTTAACGATTATCATGAGTGACATACATTTTATCACATGAGCATAACTCATAGTGACACATGTGCATCGAGAAATAAGGTTTCAGTTCCCAAAGTCACTTGACGTGAGTGTCGTGGTGTGGGGCGAGGAAAGGTGAGCACGATGTTGTAGCCCTATGTTATTGGATGTCGTGCTCATTTATTTAACACATTATACATGTACACACAATGTAGCCAACAAAAAAAATGAACCAAGTCCACTAGCATGTTAAATTTGTAGTCTTGTTCGTAATGATGCATCTCATGTAGGGATGGCAATTTACCCACCCATGGGTAATTTTGTCCAAACCCAAGTAGACCCATTTATTATGGGTAGGGTTTGGGTTAGGGGTGGCTATACGGTCCGGTCCGGTTAAATTGGCCCAAATTGATCCGGTCCAGTCCGGTCTTTTTGAAGATATAAGGACCGAAGATTGGATTGGATACAGTCCGGTCTTGATCCGGTCCGGTTTTGATCCGGTCCGGTCCCAATTTGGTCTTGATTTTACATTGAGATTGTGGGATTTGAGTGGCCTAAGGCCTTAAAGGGTGAGGAGTTGGTTAAGTTTTGTACTAAGTGCAAAGGTTTGTGACCGTTTATGCAAATTACCCTTAAGTTTTGGGTGTTGAGCTCTCTTATCCGGTCTTTATCCGGTTTTTTACCTCAAATCTAAACCCAAAGATTGGATTGGATTGTTTACTATCCGGTCCCGGTCCGGTCTCGGTCCGGGTTATACGGTCCGGTTTCCGATTTTTAATCCGGTCCCGGTCCAAATAGCCACCCCTAGTTTGGGTGATGTGTGTATGGGTTTGGGGTTTGTATATGGGTTTGGGTTAGATATGGATATTATCTAAATGGGTATGGGTTGGATATGGATATCCATTTACTTGAGGGTGTTTTAACTACACATGCAAAAATTGGACCTATTTGTAAAACTTGAAAAGTATAGGTACCAAATTGTAAGATCAAAAAAATTTAGGCACCAAAACGTAATTTTCCATCGATATTTTGAGGACTTATATGCAAAAAAAATTAAATTTAGGTACTAAATATGCATATCTATTAAGTTTAGGTACCAAACTGTAATTTGTATTTGGGCATGGGTACAAACCCAAATCCATTTGTTATAAACCCAATTTAACCCAAAGTAAATGGGTATGGGTACAAACCCATCAAACTTTACCTATATCCATATATTTGGATTTCATACTCAATCCAATTGGGTTGGATAGTAAAATACCCATGGGTATGGGCAAAATTGCCATCCCTAATCTCATGCTCCGAAAAGCGAGAGCTTGGCTTCAAACTTAACACCCGATGCGCGAATCACATGTGTTGCACAATGGATATAGTACTCATGACATTCATTATTGTGATCAGCAAACACGACTATGATACGTCACATTTTGTCAAAGATTAACATTTTGTCAAAGATTCACAAGTCTTTCTCGAGTTTAACATGACCCAACTCATAATAATTTGTTATGGACTATCTAAACTCGACATATTTACCAGTACTACTCCAACAACTCGATCTATCCTAACCTAATTCCTAAAATCCAAACCTATCCCATTTACCACTCTCGACAAAAGTAGTGGCTGAGTGGACAATTATCGATGGATTGGTGCATGTATATTTCCCTTTTCTGAATCTAGCCGTATGGATATACATCCGGGAATTATTATCCGGCAACGGCCATCATGCGCGATTGAGCAATGGCGATGGACGGATGGTGTCGGTTGCGGCGGGCTGCCGGAAAGACAGCTGGCGGTGGCTGTCCATGATCGTGAAACGAAAGCGACACGTGTACGCCGATCAGACACAAATCAATTAGTTAAATGAAAATGTTAAAAAAGAAAAGAAAAAGCCGCCTCTCAATTGACAGTTTCCGTCAGTCTATTTTGGACGGAGACGGGAGAGCCGTGAGTGGACGGAAAAAGAGAGGACACGCACGACGACAAACGGCGAGAGCCTGTGATGGGCCGGGCCCCACCACGTGCGACAACCCTGAAAACATGGACCACTCTGTAGATAAAAGAAAGTGTATCCGCCCCATACAAGAAAAAAAAAAAATTTTGGACCCATTTGGCCCATTATTATTTTTTACATATTAATGGGCTTCATTTTGGGTCGATCCCAGATCGATGGGATCTTAACCCAACTTCGATTCGAGCTCTCGTACTCTAGAGAATGCTCATGATTCAGACTTCAGAGCATTCTCCGAGCGTGTCAAAACAGACTCTTTTTTAACGGCAATCTCGACAATAGTTGCGTGACGAGGGACTAGTTAGAAACTTTCGTATTACCTTTAGATAGAAGACAACTCGTAGTCGAGAAATGAAAGACGTGACTTAATCGACTCATGTGGTGCTTGTTTTGTTTGTTGGTGGAAAAATGTGAACTCTCAGCCAGCTGCCTTCCAGGGTTTTGGTTGTGATTTGTGAATCGCTGAATTGTATAGTTTATGGAAAAGGTGTCCACGACGACGAATACTTCTTCATGGACGGAGAAAGAAATGGGCAACTGCAACAAGAAATTGCCTACACTTTCCCACTTGACAAAAATGCTAGCTAGCTTTCTTATATTTATTAATTAATTACCCTTTGATTTTGTTTTAATTATTGAAAAGAGTTTAGGCGACTCTCAGATCCGGAAAGGGAGAGAGAGAGCTCCGAGAAAATAGGAAAAGAACATTCGAAGCGAAAGTCCAAGTTTAGGGTTTTCTGGCCGTCAGTATGGCGGCGGTCTCCCCGCCGACGTCACCAGGGATGGCGGACAAGGTTTCGGACGTAACTAGTGGTGTCCGGCGACCGTCGGAGGTGTCTTCCACCCCGGACGGGAAAAGTGAAAGAGAAACGGTTCAACCCAAAAAGAAGGTCCGTCCGTTGGTTTTTGAGCAGAGCGCGGGGGGGGATTTTGAGGGTACAGATGCAACGGATATGGAGACGGAAAAGGAAAAAGGGAACTTTGGGACCAGCTCGGCGGGAAAGGGAACCTGGGGGAGGAGCTTCAGTGCGGTTCTTCAAGAAGATAAGTGGTATGTGGAGGAGTCTGATTCTGAGGATGTGGCAGCAAGGGAGAAGGAAGAGGATGATGAGATGGACGCCGAAGAAGATCCAAAATGCCCTACGATTACGTTCACTGCGGCGGAAAAAATACGATGGCGTAGGGAGTGGAGGTCGGCGTTGGTAGTGAAAGGACTGGGCAGGAGGGTCTCCTATATCCCGCTGGCTCGAAGACTGAACTACTTATGGGCGAGGAATGGGGAGATTCAAATCTCTGATATGAACAATGGATGTTTCCTGGTACGGTTTCGAAACCAGAAGGACTATGAATGGGCAATGGAGGGGGGACCCTGGCTTCTCGGTGACACCTACCTTACGGTACATCGATGGTTTAAAGGTTTCAATCCCTGGAAGACAGAGATAACGACAACTATGGTATGGGTCCAGCTGCCGGAGCTGCCGATAGAGTTCATAAACAAGGAAGCAGTTATGAAAATTGGTCAATGGTTGGGGAAGCCGGTACGCGTTGATCGGGCTACGGAGATTGGGGCTCGTGGCCGGTTCGCAAGACTTTGTGTGGAAGTGGATTTGACACAACCACTGTTATCCCAGTATAAAATCGAAGGGACGACATACTTGATCCGATATGAGGGCTTGGATGACTTGTGCACTAACTGTGGGACTTATGGCAAGTCTGGAGGGAAGTGCCAGTGCAATTTAGCAGAGAAGGCGATGGAGACGGAGGAAGTTCGGGTGGACGAGATGGAGAAGAGAGAAGATCCGACCCAAGGGCGCACCTATGGGGAGTGGATGGTGGTTAAGCGCCGTGAGAGGAGACCTGGTAGGGGAGTAAGTCGGGGGAAGGAGGGGAAAGGTGAAGGAAGTGAGTCGAATAGGTTCCAGGCTTTTGCGGGGGAGGTGCACCAAGTGAGGGTGGAGGAAGAAGCTGTTATGGTAGATAGAGGGGAAGCGGGGAAACCTAAGGATCAACCAACGGCTACCCATCCCTTAAATGAAGGCTTATCCCATGCAGAAGGCCATGCACACCTCGTAGAGGAAGAGGCCCAAATGCACAGTTCCCAAGGGAAGAGTGCGAAACCGGATGCTCCCAGTCAACGGGAGACTATGACAAGTAAGAAAGAATCCGTGGCTGCTAAGCCACAAGGTGTGCAGACAGCGAAAGGAAATGCGGGTGTAAACCCAGGGAAGAAAGGTGAGGGGAAGAAGCAGGGGCAGAGGAATGAGGGTATAAAAAATGTAGGGCTGCGTATGGATACTGGCGGCACGAGTACACTAAAGAAAGCTGATGGTGCGGGGAACCGATCCCCTTCAGTGCATAAATGAGACTATTATGTTACAACTGCCGTGGGCTGGGAAACACACGAGCAGTTAGAGCTTTGCGGTCGTTGGTGCGACGGGTTTCCCCCCAAGTTGT